TGTCATGTACATTACCATGCCAATCCCTCCGAGAGTTGTCATGACAGAAATATATATATATATATATATTCTCAGTGATACCCTCCTTCAGATAGGTGCATCCTCCAGAGCTAATCCTATCATTTCTGTTTTTATTATACATATATATATATATATATATGTATAATAAAAACAGAAATGATTTTTGAAAAAAAACAGAGATGTTTTTGTTTGTTTGTTTGAAAAACAAACAAAAACAAACTAAAGTAAATGCTTTGAATAAAATGTTTTAAATGAAGTTTGAATTTACTGTTTGAATATAACCATTTGCAAAGTTTTTGCATGATCATATATTTTACCTGTTGAATTCTGGTGAAACATTTTTCAACAAACTGTTTAGCACTAACTTGATTTCATGTTCAGTCTTATCTGTCTAAACCATGCAAAACACTGTCCCTGTGCACATCACGGGCCCAGTGAACCCATAAGAACTGGCGTATTAGATCAGAAACACCATCAGTCTAATCAACAAACCGCTGTGATAAATATTATGTCATATGTCGACACTTTCTCCTCAGAAGAAAAAAGAGGCGTTTGACTCTGACTGGATTGTCTAACATAAAATGATCAGGGTGGAGATTTGCAGGTTAAGAAAGCTTAGAGGTTTATTGTCATGACGTCACTTTAATTAGCTTGTAAGCCAGTGCCACTATTCTCTGGCAGCCTGTCGGAGGAGACCAGCACTGATCTCTGCACTGGAGGATGCACCTATCTGAAGGAGGGTATCACTGAGAAGCTTCACTTTTCATCCTGACACCCCACAAGTAATGAATCTGTGAGAGGACGAGCAGAGAAGCACTCTTCAAAATGGCAGACAAGGATAGCGTGGAAAAGTACTTGGAGAATAACCCTCAGTTCGCCAAAGAGTATTTCGACAAGAAGGTCCGATCCGAGGCCATCGCCGCCGCTTTTGCAGAGAAACTTGACATCAAAGATCCGGCCTCGTTCAAGGATGTCAGCCAAATCCAGGAGGCCAACATCATCTTTGATATGATCAAAGAAATGCATTCGCAGCCTATTATGGAAAAGGCCATGCACAAGGTCCTGCAGAGGATATGTTTGCTGTTGAACGCTGACCGCTGCAGCTATTTCCTGTCCCGAGCGAGAAACGGCATCCCTGAGCTTGCTACGTGTTACGCAAAAAAACAGCTAATGTTCCGGATGTCAAACAGGTGAGTAAAAGAAGTAAAGGTGTTTTTTATAGCTCCCCCTAGTTAATCTTTTTTTTTTTTTTACCTTTATTAAAGCTCTATAAAATTGAAATGTGTCAAATGCAAACACATTAAATTCAAGCAGTATACATTGAAAGACTACATTGAATATATAAATGAAGGTAACACTTTATTTCGATAGTCCACTTTAGACATTCTATTACTTAAGGGGGTTAATCAATATATAAATGAAAAACAAAATAATTTACAAATAATTAATAGCAAAATATATAAAAGTTGTAACAAATTCTAAAAAATATATAAAAATTTAATTATAACAAATACATTTCGACTTAAGGGGAGTTAATCAATATATAAATGAAAAACAAAATAATTTACGAATAATTAATAGCAAAATATATAAAAGTTGTAACAAATTTTAAAAAATTATAAAAATTAAATTATAACAAATAAATGTCAACTTAAAGGGGTTAATCAATATATAAATGAAAAACAAAATAATTTACAAATAATTAATAGCAAAATATATAAAAGTTGTAACAAATTTTTCAAAAATATAACAATTAAATTATAACAAATACATTTCAACTTAAGGGGGTTAATCAATATATAAATGAAAAACAAAATAATTTACAAATAATTAATAGCAAAATATATAAAAGTTGTAACAAATTTTAAAAAAATATAACAATTATAACAAATACATTTCAACTTAAGGGGGTTAATCAATATATAAATGAAAAACAAAATCATTTACAAATAATTAATAGCAAAATATATAAAAGTTGTAACAAATTAAAAAAAATTATAAAAATGTAATTATAACAAATAAATGTCAACTTAAGGGGGTTAATCAATAAATAAATGAAAAACAAAATAATTTACAAATAATTAATAGCAAAATATATAAAAGTTGCAACAAATTCAAAAAAATGTAATTATAACAAATACATTTCAACTTAAGGGGGGTTAATCAATATATATTGCAAGTAATTTATAGAGTTGTAAGACATTCAAATTTTTAAATGCCACAAAACTTGGAGCAAAAAAAGAGTGTAAATAAAACTTATTTATAATCAACATATTATTATGCAAATACCGTTGTTTTGCATACAAACCCCTAGTTATATCACTTTAATGTCATGTAATTCCTTCTCCTTTTTTGAAATAGCATATAGCAAAATATCTGCTGTGTAAATTGTGTGCAGAATTGCAGAAACATATTTTTAAAAAGGCAAACTGTTTTTATATCCCTAATAGATGACAGTCTATGCAGATCATGCACATTAAACAAACATGTTTTGTCAGAAATATTATTATAATATTAATATGACTGAATCAACCAAACTAGGTTACAGAAGTGAAAGTCCTTTTTAGGTCATAGAGAAAGAGCTGTGTTTTTGCTTTTTATAGTACTCTAATATGCTTTACACACGTTCATTTATAAAAAGACACTCGTTAAGTTGCAAGCAAAACATCTTCTTAGGCTTATCAGGTGGGTCTGTACCTGAAAGTCGACTATTCGTTTGACAAAGGATTCAACTTTTTCTGTCCTGTGGTCATGGAGGTCAGTCGACCCCCTGCAGAAAAGCAGCTTATTTTCTGTGCTTCTGGTAGCCTGCTGCATCTTGATATTATTCAGTAACAAATGACTGTCCTGATAATAACTCATAATTAAGAAGCTTTATTTATGAAAAGAAAACGTGAAAGTGAGCATCTTTACGTTTTCTAAATAAGCCTGCAGTAAAACTGCTGAATGAAATGTAACACAGTAATTTTTGTTGCCACGTTTTATATATTAAATCTATGAGAAAATGTCCAAATTACCAAAGTTTTGCTCATACTGCTAAAAAAAACAACAAACTCTACTTCACTAAGGAACATGATACATATACTTGAACTTTACTTAATTATACTTAATAAAATAAACTTGAAGTATACTACTTTTTGGTAAGGGGTGCCATCATCCAGCATATTGTATTTAGTGTGTGTGTGTATTTATATATATATATATATATATATATATAAAATATAAAGATACATACAATCATATGCTATAAATATCAGCATGGTGTTTAATCATGGCACACTGGTGCGACGTCAGCTTAAGTGTCAGTGACAGGGTTAAATCTATTAACCTTCATTACATAACACAGAAGTGTAAATTTAGGTAGAATTAGTCTCAGTGACGAGAACAAATCCAAACGCCTTATCGAAAGAGATCATTTTAATTAATGGCTGCAGCCCTTATTTTGACTGATTAAAAGGTCTAACTAATTTAATAACCGTTCTTAAGTTTCAAGTTTGAAAATATATATGAATAATATGAAATATAATTTATTTCTGTGATGCAAAGCTGAATTTTCAGCATTACTCCAGAAAAGGTTACAGAGATATCACCTACCATAACTGGAGGCACGGATTTAACGTGGGCCAGACCATGTTCTGTCTTCTGCAAGTGAGTCTTTCAGTCCACACATCATGTTATTTACCACCAAAGAGGTTGTGATATTGAATATTGTTTGCTTGCCCAAAAGACTGGAAAGCTGAGAAAATACTACTCCGACCTTGATGCCTTTGCGATGGTAGCAGCTGCATTCTGTCACGATATTGACCACAGGGGTACCAACAATCTCTACAAGACAAAGTAATTTAGTATATATATATTTTTACTACTAATATTTTCAGAAAAGGCACAGAAGACATTTTACTCACAATCCATTTCCAATGTAGGAGCGCATCACCACTGGCCAAGCTCCATGGCTCCTCCATATTGGAAAGGCACCATCTTGATTACAGCAAGACGCTGATGGCAGAAGAGGTTTGTTGTGTCGCAAAGCACAAAGTGTTCCAGAGTTTAATATGATAACCAGGTCAACTTTTTTTTTTTTGGGCTCTTTTACAGAACGTTAACATTTTCCAAAGTCTGCAGAAACGCCAGTTTGAGACAGTCCAGCACTTGCATGATGTCTGTATCATTGCGACTGACCTGGCCTTGTATTTCAAGTAAGTGCTCAAGAGCATGTATTCACCTAAAGTAGAGCCACTCTTGAAAATATTGTACTGATGATGGTCCCATTTTCTTCCCCAACCCAGAAAAAGGACCATGTTCCAGAAGATCGTTGATGCCACCGAACCAATGGCTGATGATAAGGACGCGATTGCCTATGTGGCCAACAATCCCATTAGGAAGGAAATCATTATGTAAGCATCACTTCTCAGTAGAACCCTGCTACTTGAGAACATACTGAATTGAGCGTTTGAAGACGTGTTTGCTTCCAAACAGGGCAATGATGATGACAGGATGTGACTTGTCCGCCATTACCAAGCCATGGGAGGTCCAGAGCAAAGTAGGTGCAACTTTGGTTATGCATAGTCAGGATTATCCAGCATTGGGTTAAAAGATAGTCCACTGTTTATTATCAGCTAAAGACACTCTTTTCTAAAGGTGGCTCTCATGGTGGCAGCTGAATTCTGGGAGCAGGGAGACCTGGAGAGGACTGTGCTAGACCAACAGCCCATTGTGAGTTTGTAGAGATCGATTTCACCAAGTTTTGCTTTTTGAAAAGTTGCATTGTGAGAAAACTAGTGCCTGAATGAGAATACGTATCCTTTGAATCTTTTCTCAGCCCATGATGGACAGGAACAAGTCAGATGAACTTCCGAAGATGCAGTGTGGTTTCATTGACTTTGTGTGCTCGTTTGTGTACAAGGTAAATCCATCCAGCTGTCAAGCTGGAATAAATTTCTCTTTTACACAACACAGACATGCGTGCAAGCAGAAAATGGGGCATCTGTCCATAATGGCCTCTCCTGGAATGTAAAAACAACATTTGCTTAAATGTTCTGACAGGGAATGATGGATCAGCAGTTACTGGTGGGCTTGTGAATTGCGTGCAGTAACAAGCCTCTTTTCTCGTACAGGAATTTTCAAGGTTCCACAAAGAGATCACTCCCATGTTTGATGGCCTGAACAACAATAGGGTCCACTGGAAGGAATTGGCTGATATTCACCAAGCAAAAGTAGACGCTTTGGAGAATGAACGAAAGCGACTAGAAGAGGAGCAGGCTAAAAAATGTAAGTCGGACCCATTAGCTGACTTTTTTTTTGTCCGTTTTGGCACTTTTATAGACAGGGATAGTAGATTAAGGAAAGGAAATGATGAGGGAAATAGATCAGAAAATGGCAAGGGATGCCCACTACACTCTCAGAAAAAAGATACAGAAGCAGTCACTGGGGTGGTACACCTTTGTACCTTATTTATCTCTAAAGGGTGCATAATAGTACCCAAATGGTATATATTTGCACTTTTTGAAAGGGTACCGCTCCAGAGACTATTTTTGTACCTTTTTTCTGAGAGTGTTTATGGGACACCCTGTGCTAATCTGACCTCATAGCCTTGGGGAATGTACATGACATAACCTTGCAGTAACTTGATTTTCTCTTTTCTATTTTTTTTCTTCTTCACTGAAGCCGCTGGTGAGGATGGAGGTGGAGAGGGAGGAAAGTCCAAAACCTGCACCATATTTTAAACATCATCTGACAAAAATTCAGAGCCACAGAAAAGCCTGGGCCAGTATGTAGATGGAGGTGAAATGTGCTCCTAGGATCATTACATTTTCACCAGCTTTCAGTCTCATTTCCTCGGATGTACCTTCTCCAAGTGAACACGTAGGCATTCACCAGAAATGGAAGAACTGTACCTGTCAGATGTTCTTTCTGATGGGGTGCCAGCCTAGTGCACCATTGTAGACAATTTCAAGCTTGTACCTAATCACTGAATTCACCTTGACTGTATCGTTTAACAACTAACTACGCCGGAGGAAGTACTGCATATGCAACTACTACATTTGCCACACAGTGGTGGCCGAAACACGACTCGACAAATGTTTAATGTGCTGTAGTTCACAGAGCTTACTTGGAGTATGGCTTTTGAGTCCATAACAGTTTTCAAGACTGTTGTATGTCATTTAAACAGCAAAAACATTAAGAATTAGAGCAATATGCATGAATAACTTTCTTACCAGTTGCTAATTTCTCAAAATATCAAACTCCTCGAATGATTCCAGAATCACGTGGTTTAGCTTCTCTGTAAACTGATCATAGACGCATCTAATTTGATGTTTATTCTTTTGATGAATTCACTAAATCACACTGGTGAAGTGTGTAATGTCTAACACCAAATGGGAATTGCAAAAATACTGGCTGTTTTCAAACATGTTTTCTCAACACACCCCTCATTTGTAATTGGTCAAACAAACAGATAGCCCCACCCCCAAACAAACACCATTGGTGTTGCTGTTGTCGGGTTGCTTAATGTTTGAACAGACCCAGCATTACACTTTTTTTGTAAAATCAACTTACAAATGGCTTTCTTATAGCTGTCTCTACAACTGGGCTGAAAGCATTTTAACTTCACATAAAATTACACACTTCGCCTTTAAACTACTGAAAACACATTTTAATAAATATCAGTTGCTTTATTTAGGATTAAAGGACCAACTCATTTGAATAAGAGCTTTTAGACGCTGAATGCTATTAGCAAGTGCTTTGTAAAATGTACAAAGATCTCATGCTACAAGTCTTGCACAATGACTATGAGTTAAAAGGAAAGATGACACAGGCAGCATTAACTGCTTCTTGCATTTGCATCTGCTTGTTGAAGATGTGTTTGGATGGGTACAATACAAGACATCTTTTCTACTTTTTTGTTCTTTAAAGATGAAGCTGAGAATGTGAAATGGCGAGTTGTGGAGAACATTTATGACCAGAACTTTGATGTTTGTTCTTTTAATCATTTAATGATACCTAAGCATCACACATAGTTTTCAAACATTATGTATTATTGAAAGTGTAACATTGAGTGTTTTACATAGAATATCAATTGATAACATAGAGGTATTTGTTTATACCAAACGTTTAAATAATTTTTAAGTGGTATTCTATGGAGACACGAGCAAGACGTACAAAAAGTCAGGGAATATTTAAAGAAAGTACACTATGCCATTACAAGGCAAGAGGGAACGGTCAGTACTTGAACATGTAAACCTATAAGGAGATTTGAAGCGAGTTTGATGGGAGAGCAGCTCCTGAGATTCACTCCGTTTTAATCTTTAAATACCATGCTTATTTAAAGCAGACTACTGAAGCCTCTAGATACCTCCTCTGGCAGAAAGCACAAACCCAATTCGTAAGGTCAAAGTCTCTTTTTCTGATCTTTGGAGAATTTGATGACAGTGGTAACATCTGAACTAGTGAATGAACCGCCGATATCAAAAATAGGTCATTCTGCTTTAGGAAAAATAACAGGCACCAACAAAAACAAGTGTATATATAATAACCTATGGAGAACTGTAGTAAATGCATTGAAAAAAATAAAATCTTATGCAATATCCGCTTGTTAGAAAAATCAGCTAAGGCCTTTAATCCAATAACAGGGGCCATGGCAGTCTAAATAATGTCAAACCCTCTAAAGCCCAGACTGAAGAGGCCAAAAGTGAGTAAATCTCATCTCAGGTTGATGGTTTGCGCATTTTGTTAGGCTTGTGTATAATAATATCTAATGTGTCATTTGGATTGAACGTGCATGGGACTGATATCCAATCATCTTATTTACTGAATACTACCGCACATATATTGTAAATGATATCACGTGAACAAATAAACACATTATCTGAATTTTCCGGATTCTCAAGTAGTCTTTGAATATATCCGCTATTAGCTCGAGGTCTCTGTGACCGCACAGTTTTGTTGGGTTGCGTAGAGGGCATGTCAGGGACCTCTCCTGACTTTTTCTATCATGCAGCGGATTACCTAATAAAGCTGGATCATCCCCAGGTAAAGAGGCTCAGGTAATTGGCTGACAGCCAAGACAAACCACTTCTCTATCTGTAGGTCTTTCAATATAAAACCAAATGCTTCATGTTGAATGTTTATAACACCAGACCACACCAACTGTCCTTTTATGTTTCGTGGAAACACAGAAATGCATCATAAATGCAATCACAGGGGAACTTCCACATATTAGACATGCTGAATAACAGAGCAGAGTGAACAAAAGGCTTTCTGACCCCACCTGACTGATTCTTCACATTGATTGGCTGGCAGCCACCATCGGGTACGCTTGACAGTCTACCATGACCATGTGAGTTTGACCTGAGAGCCTGACGGGAGGGGTATAAAACAGAAAGTCTGTCCAGTTCAAAAAAGCCTGTGATAATGCATTTGTGATTTCAAGGCAAAAGGGACAACAGTACATCTGTCATTCTGGGTCAGATGATACAAACATTGATAGTGTCTGACTTTAAACTCAGTTAAGTTGCTATGGGCTCCTAAAATATTGTTATGGACTGCTGTACTTACAGAAACCCAAATATCTCTTCATGGTAAATATCTGAGCTCACCAAACTTTAAAAGTAAACACTTCAATAAAAAAGCACTTAAATATACTGATAAACACAGCAGGCCTCATTCATATAAAATCTGAACAGAACAAATATTTGCGCAAGTCAGTCGTAAAACTATTATGTCAGTTATTGCATTGAACACAATGTATATATTAAAATTATATATGATTTTACATGCGCTTTACACGTTAATTAATTCATTTCTATGCAATTACATCAATTGTAAACATACACACATATATATATATATATATATATATATATATACACATACACAAATTATGATAATGTTTTATTATGAATAAGGCCAAATGTGTTTTACAAACACATGTATACAATTCTTCATATGCAAATTTTTATGCTTGAATGAGACCCAGTAGAAATTATTACAAAAAATTTAAATAATAATCAACAAATTGTAATCAAACTATTCTTCTCAAAAACAAAACTAACCGGTATAAAAAGAAAACAGTAGGCAGGAGATTCTTTTGGATCTTTCTTTCCTCGACTCAGAGAAACATGTCTTCAAAATACTCATCAAACTCTTCCTCCCTGAAAAAGAATCAGACGCATCAGGTTTGTCAGTTAACTGTGATTTAGAAAGACATTTCCAGTGTTCAAGAGCTTTCGAGACACATTTCCCACATTTGTGTACACATATACTCTGCATTGTAGTAAAATACATTATAATGACGCATAAACGGATCTCACCGTGACTTCTCCTCCACAGTGGGCGCTGGACCCCTCCAGTGGTCTGATTCTGAAGGACCCTCTTCCTCTTCTTCTTCACTCTCTGCATCTAGAAAATACACCACATTAGACTCACATATATCTAAGCACACTACTAGCAGGATGTAAGCCTGATAAAGGTATTGTAGTAAAAGAACTACTCCGTGTGGGGTGAGTTACATGCCCACATGAGTTTTAAATAGGAAAAATATAGAAACTCTTTGGTCTTTTTTGAGCGAGATGCTAACGGTCTAATCAGATTCAATGATCTATGCTAAGCTACAGCTAAAAGTGCTACCGCCAGACCCGGAGATCGGCTGAATGGATTCGAAAACGGTAAAACTCAACTGTTTAACTCTAGGGGAGTTGGAAAATGAGCCTATTTTCAAAAATAGTGGAGTGTTCCTTTAAGGTCAGGGATTTAAATGACCTCATCCAACATCTGCTTCAACATGGGCTTCTCTGAATACAGGAGTTTCTGGAGTTGTTTCAGTGGTCTGAACATACGGAGTACATTCTCTGCCTGAGGGTGCTAGATGACGGCCATTAGTGATTTTGGTGAAAAAAGGGGTATGTATACCTTTATCTGAACCCTGGGACTCTTCCGAATTTGAAGATGAGTATTCTGTACAGAAAAAAATGTGGTTTATTTAACAAGCATGTTTGGGCAACATAAACCATTAATTTAAACCAAGTTTTCATTTCCATTTAATTCCCAAATGATTAGTATTTTACAAATGGGCTTAATCAACAACCTTTCTGTGTAAAAGTCATTGACATGCTCTCTAAAGTTCTTTAACTAGAGTACAAAACACCACCACAAAAACAAGTCAAAGTTTAGCATAGACATACAATGAAATGCTTTTCCAACAATTCCACGTCTTGGAAATGTTTGGGATCTTGATTTGCATTGAAAACGTGCTTGCCTTTGCGCCTCTTTTTGTGTTTGCGTTTGTCTTTGCGCTTCTGCTTTCTGGATTTCTTTGAGACTGACTTGTCCAGATTCTCTTTCGACTGCTGTCTCTTCTTTACCGTTACTTCCTTTCTCCTGGAACAGATAGCACAGTTTAAGAGTCAAGGTCTCCAGGTCTAAGAATATCTGAACATGTAATTGTGCTTGTAATGGCTGAATGATCTTACTTGTGATGATAGTTTAGTTTGAAGGAACACTCTGGACACAGACCTTGAAAATATCATGACAATATATAAATATTTGAAAAGGCTGAAACAAATTCATTTGATTTGATCTGTCGGCCACGTGGAGTGGTCTGAACATACGGAGTACATTCTCTGCCTGAGGGTGCTAGATGACGGCCATTAGTCATTTTTGGTGAAAAAAGGGGTATGTATACCTTTATCTGAACCCTGGGACTCTTCCGAATTTGAAGATGAGTATTCTGTACAGAAAAAAATGT